GTCTAGGAAATGTAGAAGCCAAAGGACTTATATGTACAACCCATGCACATTAATGATGATGGGAGGGCAGACTGGAATACAGGGCAGAGAAGAATAAAGGGGAGAGAAAAATGGGACAACTGCAAAGCCATAATCAATAAGATATATTTTTAAAAGCTTTTTAAAAACAAACAAACAAATAAATAAATAAAAGGATGTGTGAAGAAAAAATAATAAAAAAAATAAAGAGGCTCTCAGTCTGTAGCACCCACTTGGTCTCAGCTCGTTTAGCCTGCAGGGCCTCCCTGGCTTACCTGGGTCCTCCCTGGACCAGGAGACAGTGCCAACTGGTACAACCCAGGGTACCAGCTCCCCACCTGTGAATCCAAGGACAGAGTCCTAGACCAGCAGACAAGAGTCCTGGACCATCTCTGTCACTAACCAAAGCATGTCATTCCCTGCTCCCTCGGACCACAGTCACCCCATTTTTGAAATGTAGGGCCTGACCTAGGTCAACAGATTCAAACTCATCAATTAAGTTGCATTTAGCTATAAATAACAAAAGCAAGCAAAGAAGTGAACAATAAAAATCAAAAACAAAACTAGCATATTCAAAATGGCTTAAACAATAAGAAAATATATCATCTGATAAAATCCAGCGACAGGACCACTCCGGGGGTGATATGGTGGTCAGCTGCTCCCCAGTATTATCAGGCAACTCTGCAGTCCTCTGCGGATTAGCTGTGCCCTCATTTTGGCTTTCTCCAGGGTCACAGGATGGCAACCACAGCACCAGGCCCACAGCCATGCACAGCACCAGCCAAGAAAGGAGAGAACCCATCTTTCTTGTGTTTCATTTTAAGGAGCAAGAAGCCCCTATTAGACTTCCTTAACCCCCCTGTTGTCTAGAAGTGCCTACTTCCAGCCATTCACCAAAAAGGAGAGTGAGATCACTATCTTGAGTGAGTATATATTGGTGAGCCAACAATGACCAGAGTAGAAAGGGAGCCCTCCTTTCTAAAGAAATACCACATGACCACGGGACACAGAGCAGATAAAAGTAGATCATGCTGGCCTGAAGTCAGAGATGGGGAGGAGGCCACAGCCGACCCCTACTGTCCCAGAGTCTCAGTCACAGATCCCTGGAGCTCTTTATACCAGTTTAAAAACCACCGACTTGATCTCTAAGGCTGCTTTCCACTCTAATACCCCATGGCTCTCTGCTTCTGACAGTAATGGCTCTGGCAGAATGAGATCAACATGAAAGGGGAAACACATCCACTGAGGTCACCCTAAAGATGGGGGCCAGTCTAAGGGCCTAGGGGCTTCCTCCAGGCTTGCAAGAGCCAGGGACACTATATGGATTGTTCTGTAGTCTATACTCATAATAGTAACACAGACGCATACATTTTCCTGTTTGCCAGGCTCTCAGGCACACATTGTCTCTTCCAGACTAAGAAGCATCCCTAAAAGTAATATAAGGCCCAAATGGCTCTTTTTTAGATGTGGGGAAACCAAAGCAAAAAGCAAGTAGGCACGTGCTCTAGAAATCCAGGGCCTGGAAGAGCCCAGACCGAACCACAGGCTGCCTATTTGGCCCAAGGATGCGCGACACTCCTGGGAAACTGGGGTGGGGGGGGGTTCAAAGAAAAAAGTGAGATCCAGCCTTGCTGGCCAGGAGACTTGGGTCTGTCAGTCTTTCTGAGCCTCACTCCCCACATCTGCAGTGTGGTTACTCAGAGGTTCTCCTCGGGGCCACAGGGAGGACAGGAGGGAAGGCCCCTGGATTGTTTAAAAGGGCTGTGGGTCTTCCTGGCTGAGGCTGCAGATGGCTTGGGGAGGGTAAGTCCTGTGTCCTCACCTCCAGACTACACTCAAGGAAAACTGGGCCCGAAACACCAACTGCCACTCTCAACACGAAACACGGCTGCTGGTTGGTGCAGGGCCACAACCTCCTCCAGGAGGGGCTGGGGCAGTGGCCCTGGCTGAGCGCCTCCCCCATTCCCTGGAGGCAGGCGGCTGCTAATGGCTCTCCCCACAAGCTGGTTCATTAAAGATTTGTTCTGTCGAGTTGCAATCAAAATAAACAGACCAGCCTGAAAGCCAGGGAACTAAAAACCAATTAAGAGGGAATGGAGATGGAAGGTGGGGGTGGGGGCAGGAGGGGAAAAAAGGCCGGGGCTTTCCAAAGACTCAGTTCCCATGGCAGCCAGCTTCCAAAACAGTCTGGGAATGAAAAATAATGAAAACCACCGTGGAAAGAAAAGCTAGCCTGGCAGGAGAGTCCCGACCTCGGGACTGGTTCAATCCCCTTTCCCCTGGCTCCCAAAGGAGACCTCGGTGGGTCGGAGTGCTGGTGACCTGTCCTTTGCCCCACCCCACCCATTAGAGCAATGGTTCCTTACACCTCCCGAGGTCGGAAATGGCGCAGACCCTCTGCTGGGCTGCTGCCAAGGCTGCAAAGTGAAGGATCCACACACTCAACCCCGGCCCCGTGGGGAAACCAGAGAAACATGATTTGGGGGTGGGGGCAGGGCTTGCTGGGGACAAGAGGGAAAGGGAAAGGTCCACCTTGAGGCCCCTAGCCCAATTTCAGACTGAGATCTGAAGTAGGAGCTGGCCAAGAAATGAACAGAAAGAAGAATGCTTCAGAGAGAGAGAGAAGAGGAATTAATTGCAAAGGCCCTGGGACTGGAGAAGTGGGAGAGAGAAAGACCACGCGTTTGACAGGGCAGACAGTTACTGAGCCAGGCTTGCTCTGGGCCAAGCCTGGTGCTTTTGAATGCAGTGGATCCTGAGACTCGGGAACATAGCAGGCTGAGACCCCAGGTTGTATGAAGGCGGTGCCCGGATCCCAGCACAAATCTGGGACCCTGCACCCTCCTTCCTTCCCCTCTGCCTGTAGCCAGGCCTTCTGGGGAGCACACAGTTGCCTGGCCCTTCCCTCACCCTGGTGACAGGAGACCCCAGCATGGCCTTTCCAGCAGCCATTTCCTAGCGATATCTCTGAGGAGGCTCTGCAGCCCACCAGGAGGCATCACCGGTTAACCATCTCCAGACCCCTTTGTGGTCTGGTTTCTGTTTCATTGGTGAGGCAACAGGAAAGCTGAGATCCTATTAAGCTGACTTGCAGATGCCAAAAAGGAATAACAGCCAAAATGAAGTTAACCCTTTCACACTCCCTCATCCCACCCCCTCATCCACTCCCACTTCCCAGGCTGCAGAAATAAGATCCCTAAACCACTTCACCATCAAGGGAAGTAACACCTTGGCCCTGGGAGGATGGGCTCCCAGGTCCAGAGGGACACCTGGCTTCCCCGGGCAAATGTGATGGGTCAGGAGCCTGTGCTGCCCAGGTGTAAGCCCTGGTATGATAAAGGGACAGCACCTGGCCCCACAGCACCTGAGAACGGAAGCAGGACTGTGCAAACTAGACCCTGTTCTCCCAAAGAGGAAAAGGCAAGATGAAGGTCGTGGAGTTCAGCTGCCTCGGGAGTGGCTCCTGGGCACTGGCTTTTCACTAGCCTCTCTTTCCAAGAAGCCCAGCCAAGCATCCTGTGGGAACCACTGGAAATAAGACATCCCTGAGAAGGCCAAAGCACGGCCATCAGCTCCTGACTTAGTGTCCTCTGAAGGCCCTGAGTGGAGCAAGAGGAATATGGGCCAGGGAGAGAGCACTGGACTGGGAGTCCAAAAGGCTGGCCTGGAGCCAGGCCCTTGCCCTGTCCTCATGGTGGGCAGGATGAGTGTAGGTTTTTATCATCTATTCCCTGGGTATCGATTCCAGTTCCACCATCTGGGAGCTGTGCGACTATGGGCAAGTGACTCCTCTCTGAGCCTCAGGCTTCTTAGCGGTAAATGGGTACGATAGCATTCAACCTTTAGGATTTGTACAAGGGTAAAACAAGGCGCCAAAGTGCCCAAAGCAAGCTGGACGTGGAGTCCTTCACTAGCAGTCCTCCCTGCTCTGGGTGGGCCTTGGCTTTGTCAACTGCAAGATGGGGTGCCAACTCTCCTAGGTTAATGGTATAAAGCACTCAGAAAACAGAGGCATGCAAGAGGTCTCTGGCTGAGGAAGTGACCCCCCTTCCAGAACCCCCTGCCCTGAGCTTATCTCCCACTTGCCATCAGCCATAAGGCCTCCCTCAGCCTGCACAGCCTCTTCCTGGTGGCCTTGGGAGTCTCTGTGGTCACAGAGACAAAAAGAACATTTTGGGGGCATGTACAAGAAACTCACAGTGAGTGCGAGGCAGGGGAATTATCATGCCCCCTCCTGCATCCCTCCCTTCCAGTTGAAGGAAAATAAGCCCCAAGCACAGAAGGTGACCACATGAAGCTGTGGCTTGTAAGTGCCTAGGTTTGGAATCCCGGGGCTTTTCCACTCCAAAGTCAGTGCTCCTGCCCTGCCATATCCACCCCCCTTCCCCCCAAGTTCACTGACAGAATAATCCCCATGCCAAAGGGCCATGTCCAGGGGAGGCCTGAGGAATCTTCTAAGACCTAAGGTGGGTCTTTCTCCTGTGGGTGCTGAGAGCAGTCACCTGTCCACCAACAGGAGAGAGTGGCACTCTGAAATACCACCAGCTTTTGGCAGGTCAAGGGCCACCTGGAAGGAACCAACGAGGTGGCAAAAAGGGCAGCTGGCCCAGGACGCACTGACTCGCAGCCCCGGGTTTGAATCTGGGCTCAGCTGTGTAAACTTGGACAGGTTCCTAACCTCTCTGGCTCTCCGTCACCTCATCCATAAATCCGTAAGTCCAGGAAGAACACTTCTCTCATCTCCCAGGCTGTCGGGATATTCAAATGATGCGACTGATAAGTGTTGAAAACTGTCAAACCTTGTTATCATCGGTAATTAGCACACTCGTTATTTGTTTGTGTTTCTAAGCAGCACATTTGCTAAGTGGGTTAAACAGCTTCTAGCTCCCCACTCCTTGGGCCTCCCCATCCTGTTGACACTAGTCCTGCTGTGTTGACAGTGCAAAGGTAAGTCCCCGCCGGCCTGTCGGAACAGTCCCCACTTGGGGTGAGCACCTGCACAGTCACTGAGTGTGGACTGTTTATCTCGCGGGCGGTTGTGTTGGCCTGAAGATGAACTGAGCGAAGGGGAACAAGTGTGGCAGGTATTTTCCTCCTTTGACTCATAAATGAATAAGCCAACACAGTAGATCAGTAGCCACCTATTGACAGATTTCAGTGGAGCACTTGCGACGATGGGCACTGGGCTCGCCCTTACAGATCAGAGGTGGAGCCTCCTTTCACAGCCTGTGATGGGACCGGGACTGACCGACTTCCTTCCTCCTCCCCTCGCCCCCATTTCCGTCTCTGATTCCAGAAGCCACACTTCCGGGCAGTCCCAGGGCAGTGCAGGGGGAAAGAGGACTGCTGGCCTCAGGACCCCCATCTTGGGCAGGAAGGGAGGGCCCAGCCATCTGAGAGGACCCGGGGCACCTGACCCAGACAGGGCAGCAGAAGGAATCTGGCAAGGGCCGCTATCCTGGGCTGGGGAAGGGCGTTTGCTTGGATTAGGGGCAGTGACCTGAGCAGGGAAGCCCTTCTGCCTGGGTGTCCAAGAAGGAATGTCTCCCACCAGCCCCCCATCTATACCTCCAAAGTGAACGTGAGCAGTCCCCACAGCAAGGCCTGGGCCACCACGGGCACACAATCCAGGAGTATCAAATCGCAGTAGCTAGGAATCTGATGCAATGGCGGCTTCTCCAGCACCTGGGGAAAATAAGAGAAGCCCCTGGACAGTGGGCCAGGTTGTAAGGAAAGAGGGGGGAGTCGCAGGGGAGGGATCTGGCCCCAGAGGAGCTGGATTCAGGGGCCGAGGAGACACCCTAATCCTGGGGGCTCTGGGCTGTGTCTCCCAAGCTGTAGGTGGCTGCACTCCCGGCTTCCCAGGGATGGAGAGAGAGGTGACTAGCCGCAGGGTTCAAGGGGACACTTTCTCAAGAATCACCCATTCATCCCTCCCAGCTACCCACCGGGGTGGGAGAGGGCAAGCGCAGGAACCGAACCTGCAGCTTAGAGACATTAAATAACTCACGCTGGGTCACACATTGTCCTTGTCAGGGTCATTTGGCTGCAAAGAACCTACATACTTATTGATGGGATAAACTCATTCACCAGTGATTGCTCCAAGCCTTTCCCTTCCCCTTTCCTGCTAAGGGAACTTTGGCCCACTTCTTCTCGGCTTCTTCCCACCCTTGAAGGTGTCCCTGCAGGGTGTTTCTTTGGAACTTTGACAAGGAGAATTGCAGCGGGGAAAGGAGAGGAAGATCAGAGGGGCAGTGGGGTAGGTTTGAGGTGGAGTCGTGGGAGAAGAGAAGGAGGAGTTGTGCCCTGGGGAGTCCCAGAGGCTGGCAGAGAAATGCAGAGTGGGCTAGGTAATGCCCCCTTGAAAGGCGGTTGAGAAATGCGAGGAAAGAACTGAAGTTATAATGACATAACATTTGGCTTCTGAACTCTGTTCTTTTGAACCAACACCAGACTGGACCAGATGAATCACAGCTTTGTAGGCATTAGGTTTGGGAAGCTAGATGAGGAAAGAATGGGAACTGAGACGGAGGCGAAGAAGCATCTTTTTCTTTGTGTGGTGTTTTCTTTTCACTCCTAGGCGTTTGCTCTCCTTTACAACTTTGGCTAGCGCGAGGCCTACCTTGGCCACCTGCAGCCTTTTTCTAGAATGATGGCCATCCTGCTTGAGTTTGCACTGTGAAATGTCTCATTGTATTCATGTTTCCTGGTTCAGAAATCACTTTCCCACAATTAAATCTCTCTTTGGGAGCTTTGTTTACCTTTAAAGTTTAGCTGTAAGTTATTCTTGACTCCTCATTGTGGTTTCACCTCTGTGGCTCTGTTATGAAGTCTAGGGCTTATGAATCGATAGAAGTGTGTGTCGACCCTTAAAGAATTCACTAATATAATTGGTTTATGGAAGATTCTCGACTTAGTAGGAAATAAACACAAAAATGTTTTCATTTCTTCTATCTTTCCTACCTATACTATAACAAAACCCTTTTCTCATTGGTTAATGGGTCCTTTAACCATCGCTTGATTGAATCCATATTTTCAATTTCCTTGCGTTTCTAGGACATTCTGGTTCTGTTGATTAAGACTCAGTTCTTTCTGCCTGTTTATTCGTTTGTTTCTTTTTCTCCCTTTCCCAGGAGAACTGTGGCCCCAGTTACTTGAGCCAGAGAAAGGAATCTGATCTGACCTTCACTCACTTTCCCCGACTTCCTCCTGGGTTCAGCTGGTGTTCATCCAGTCCCTCCGGGGTCCAGCTCACCCCACAGGAGAGGGGAGGGAGAAGAGCAAGCATCTTCAACTTATGATGAAGTACTTTCCATGCTGGTTGCCCTGCTGACTGGTTTAGCCAGCTGACTTTGGAGCCCTCCGTGAGAGCTGGCAGGCACAGGCTGGCTCTCGCGTGGGTGCTTGTCTGGGCTCTTCAGAAGGCCCTGCAAGGACTGAAGGCAGTCAACCCTCAGGGCTTTTGCTGCTGGCGCTTCCCACTCAACAGGCAGCCTGCTGGTGATGGAGGAGCAGGAGGAAGGGGAGAGGAATAGGGACTGACAGCAGGTGACTCAAAGCCAGTTGCCTGGTCCAGTCGCCACCCAGCCCACTGGAGACTCGAGAACGCTGGCCTGCAAACATGGTGGGAGAGAAGCTAATCCCTCTCTGTCCTGTCACCTCTCTCTAGTCCTCCTCGCTCCTGTTCAGGTCCCACAGGGCCAGGCCAGCCATGTCGTTCTCCCATTCAAAATGTACAATTTAGAAAGCATTTGCAAGCACCTTCAAAAGATATTTTAATCCTTTTGAAAAGAGATTTAAATTAGGCAAATGATTTCTGAACCAGGTAACATGGATAATGTTTAAGAATGGGTGTCTTGGTGTGCACTCCTTAGGTTTTAAGGAAAAGAGAAAGGGCTCCTTTCCCCTCTCCATTGGAAGGGGAGAACAGCCAAACTCTCTTGAGAACTGCACGATCCCTGCAAAGGCCCCCACCCTGAAGCTCCTGCAAGTCCTCACATACGGAGGAGGCGGAACTTCCATCCAGGGCCCAGGCAAGGGCGGGCAGCTCCATCTGTACCCAAGGTCAAAGTGTCTGCTTACAGGGCACGGTGCGTGAGAAAGCACTGCCAGCCAAGTGGGCAGGAGAGATGGATCTGCCCAATGAGGTATGTGCTGAATCCGTTGGCATCTTAAACTGGCAGGCCATTTCTTTGTTTTCTATCTGGACAGAATGTGCCTTCATGAGGGCCCGCGGATGGCTGTGATCGCTGAAACTGTCGGAGGAGCTGATCTGGACAACCAGGGGGCAGCTCTCGGTGAATTATTGTGCTTCACTACTTTTGAAGAGAGGCAGGTGTGCTGCTTTCAAAAAGCTACAGTAATGGGAACAAGGTGTGACCAGGAGAGGTCCTCAGGGAACACCTTAGGAATGAATTGTACAGCAAAGCACTTGCTTATTGGTGAACAGGCAAGCTCCAAACGTGATTTTAAATGTTCTGTTTGACTGTCTCTCCCAACGGCGTTTCTCACCATCTTTTTGTACTTCCACGAGGAAAGCGTTGGCTAAGCAAAGGCCAGTTTCCTCCCAGCCACATCCAAATTATTCCAAACCTCAAATGACCCCTCCCCACAAGTCGAGGATGTTAGCTGGGGTTGGCAGCTTGTGAGGAAGCTTGCATTTCACAGCAGGAAGAGGAGTGTGGCCAAAACTTCCACACGAAGACAACCCTGATCCCAGCACTAACACATCTCGAAGTGGCTACAGACACAGTGCTCAAAAATGCTGGGGGAGCTTAGCTATTGGAATATTCAGGGGAGAAACAGGGAAAGCTGCAGGTTCCCTGTGGGACCGGGCCTGTACCAGATCTGGAAAATGTATTAAAATTGTGAATAATTCTGTTCAGTGACCACTGTGTACTTGATTCTGTAGAGCAGCGATTTTCAACCTTTCTCATCCCATGGCACACATAAACTAATTTCTAATATTCTGTGGCACACCAAAAAAATATACTTTTTTGCCAATCTGACCCCCAAAAAACTACTAGGTATAATTTTGATTCATTCACACTGGACGGCTATTGTTATGTTGGCTGTTGTCATTTTTTAATTTGACAATCTAAGGCAGGGGTGTCAAACTCATTTTCACCGGGGGCCACATCAGCCTTGTGGTTGCCTTCAAAGGGCCGAATGTAATTTTAGGACTATATAAATGTAACTACTCCTTAACAGTTGAGCGAGAGCTCGGCGCTGCCACCGGGTAGAAACAAGGCCCACCCGAATCCACCCGGGTGGATTCGGCCCACGGGCCCTGTGTTTGCCACCTGTGACCTAAGGGGGAAGGGTCAGTGCTCCCAACTAAAGAGTCAGGTACTGCTTGTTACACAAATCCTTGCAGCACACCGGTTGAAAATCGCTACTGTAGAGGATGCTCTGATGAACAAGCCGCAGCCCATGTCCTCCTGGAAAACTGAGTCTTGTAGTTAAGAAGGGACATCCGTACTAACAATGGCAGGGACAAAGTAAAGACAAAGGCAGCCAGACAGAAATAAACAGCACTCCCTAGAGAACCACAAGAGGATTTATGAAGGAAAAGACTCTATAACTGAGAGACCAAGGAGACCCTGTGAGTAATGATTTAAAGTAGCAAGCTTAGTCTAAGGAATAAATATACAACCCTTCACTCAGTCATTGTATAACTCATATTTTTCCCTTGTAACATTTATGACAACTGACTGGGTATTATGCACGAATTGGAAATTAATAGCAAAAATAACACTTAAGACGTTATTTCATAAATTTATAAACATATTTCTACATAACTCAAGTGTTAAAAAAGAAATTATGATGCAAATGAGAAAATATTTAGAACACAGCCACACTTCTAAATTTCTCGATGCAGCCACAGGGACGTTAAAGAGAAAACTGCACTTCCATTTATGGCTTGTGTACGAAAAGTAAAGGCTACAACTTAAAAAGTTAAGCATCCAGTTCAAGAAATGAGGGACGAGAGAAACAATAAAATAAACCCAAATTAAGTAGAAGGAAAGAAATAATCAAAATAAGGACAGCGATGGATAAAACTGAAAATAGGCAGAGCAAGCACCAGCAAAACAAAACCTGGTGATTTGCAGAGACTGACGAGGCAGACAAACCCCTGACCAAGGAGAGCAGTGTAAGCGGAGAGAAGGCGTGTACACCCGGGAACACTCTGCTAGGGCCCAGCCGTCACACCAGCCATGGACCCCCCTCTCCAGAATGTTGTGTACAAAGGAAATAGCCTTTTATCTTGTTTAAGCCACTGTCACTTCAGGTGTCTGTTTCTTGCAGTCAAACTTAGTATTAACCAAAACAGAGGCCACAGCTAGGCTGGGCTGAAGTGGCAGCCGGGACAGGGGCCAGCAGGACAAGTGGTGGGTGACCACAGTAAGTGGCGGACTGCCATGAATGCTTTCAGTACTCTCCTAGCCTCCCAGGTGGGCTCACCCCAGGGCAGCCTTTTGGGGGCCAGACCCACTGCGCAGGTCTAGTTCCTCTGGGACATAGACTATATACCAGTCTTTCATTTGCAAGTCCCAGGAAGCCCAACTCAAACTGGTTTATATAATAAAGACAATGTATTCAATCATTTAGCTTAGCTCCATCCAACAGCTCAAACTGTGGTTCCAAAGGCCCAACATGCTGGTCCCACATGGTCTCATGCAACCCCTCCCTTCAACAGCTCCAGATTCTTCTGTGATGAGAGGGCTTCATCACTTCCAGACCTTTCATACTCATGGTTTAGTAATTAGTGCTTTCTCATCGGCCAAAATTAGGTTATGTGCCTGTCTCTAAACCAATCAACATGCTAGTTGGCTTCAGCCAGTCAAGACCCACCCCTGGAGCTGCTGCTGATTTGAGTGACTTGGACAAATTGCTGAGCCTCACTCCCCTCATGTATTATCATGTATTATTATAGAGGATGCTAATAATATCTAACTTGCAGTATTTTCAAACAGTGTAATAAAATCAGTGCTTAATCACTTAGCACAATGCCGCACACACTGCATCTGATCAATAGCATCTCTTAATAATTATTAGCCCTACTACTAAAAACTGGGGCTCCATTCCCACCTTGGGGTGAAAAGCTTGGGTGGGGCCTCTTAGTTTGAAAAGAGTGTTAGTCTGGGGCTAGTTCCTGAGAAGAGTGTGGGGGGGGGGTCAACACAAAACTTGACCCCCCCAGCCCCAGGAGGTAAACTGAGGCAGTATGCCCATAATAGAGCTGAAAGTACAGGGACCCAGGGAGTCTACAGTTTCCCTTAATCACCCAACAACACCCAAGGATAAAGAGGCAGGGGTGACTCTGCCCAAACATGACATTTTGTGACCTTCCTAGGGATTTTACCTGCGCCCCTGGGGTGAGGCCGACCCATTAAATGGCCTCGTGCAAAGGAAAAGGGGCAGAAAGGCTGCAGAGCCCTCTGGCTGGGCTCACGCTGGGTGATGGGGTCATATGCCTTGACAGGCCTTTACCCAGGGAGAAAAATCTTTCTAATAGCCCAGAAGAATGCCCTAATCTGACATCTCGTTTAGCAGATTATTGGGCCTGGCTTTGATCTCTACAGGGCGTAATGAGTGTGCCCCTTGGCCAATCAGCAGTCATTAATTAGCAGAAAGGCCAGCAGCCGGTCCTGCCCAGGAATGGGGCCCTGTGCTTACAAATTGGGAGTTGAGGGTGGAGATGTTTGTAAGGAAATCAGACCCAGAGCAAAACTATGGGATGTAACAGAATCACCAGGACCAACGCAGGGGTCTCTTTGGAAAGTGCTCTGAACTGGGCCTTCACATGGCACAGGTAACACATGGTGCCAACAGGGACTGGGCAGCGAGTAAGGGCCCCCTCTCCCTGCAACACAGCATTCAACAGTGAGAATACAGCACCAACCAAACGCAGAGCAACCAGTGTGAGACACACAGCACCACGATGAGCAGGCAGACGGCAGAATCCACCCAGGTCTGCACCTGGCCTCCTCCCCGGAGGCCAGGACCTGCCTCTCCGACTTACTGGCTCTTGACTCCCATTTCTCCACTTTCTTGGGCCCTGGAACATCTCCTATGTGGCTGCAGGTCCCTGGAGGCTGACGGGCCAAAGAGAGTGGGCACTGGCCCTACAGTTTCATTATCTCTAAGCATAGTGGGACCCAGCCTTGTGGGGCTGCCTTAAAGTTGGGGACAGGGATGGGATCGGTGAGACACGAGAAGACACCGAGCTGGTAGACTGGGTCTCAGGCACCAGAGTCACTGTGGGGTGGGAACACATGGTGTAGACTTAGCTGGGAAGAGCTGGATTCAGGTACCTTTCATCCTCTGTGACTCATTATATAGCCGTGTGACCTTGGGGTAATCCCCTTAACTTCTCTATGCAGTGGCTTTGCCCTAGAGAGAGGTTCTTTTCCACGTGGAGCTTGCAATACAGACTGTACAGAATTAATGTATGTATTCTGTGCTCAAAACTATTAATACATTTTTATATCAGTGAAACTAAGCCCTAGATTTATTTTTACTTCAACAACTAATAAAAATAAGCTCTAAGTAAAACATGCATTTATAGAAATATAAACATTAAACTTAAAATATCAGAGACAATATTTTTAAAATAAATCATTATTCAAATATTCATATGAATTATTCAAAAGATAACAAGAAATTGTACTGAACTGTGAAAAATAAATATCCCTTGATCTTTTCAGTACAATCCTGAAAAGCAAACCGAAGGTGTCCTGGTGAAGCACATCTGTGTGCCAGTTTCCCCGCTGCTGTGACAGCCCTTTGCAAGGCCACATGGTTCCAGGGGACAGCACGGGGAGAGCTTTAAACACCAAATAATCTTCTTTTGCTGCTGTCGTCATGGGGAAAAAAACGTTTAACACATTTGAGAAAACTTTGAAAACTTTTTTCTGGCTGAAGTGAGCAGAGATGGAAACGTGCTTTTTATGTATTTTATTGACAGTAAGCGTTCATTTTTGGTTTCGTCTGTTTAATGAAAACCTTCTTGTCTGTCCTTAGTGCAGACGAGATTCCCACAGCCTGGGTGCATCCTTTCAACGCCCTGGTGTTCTCTGCGGCAGACCGAGTGCTTCAGAAGCTGCGCAGTGTTGATTAGTGTTTTCCTTCTCCTCTTGAGAGTTATAGAAATGGACCCCTGCACCCTTCCAACCCAGCAAAAAAAAAAAAAAAGTGCTTTCTAAATGAGTGTCCCTTTGTTCTACCTAGAAACTGAATGTGCCCTGGCTGGTGTAGCTCAGTGGATTGAGCACGGGCCTGCAAACCACACGATCGTGGTGTGATTCCCAGTCAGGGCACATGCCTGGGTTGCAGGCCAGGTCCCCAGTAAGGGACACATGAGAGGCAATCACACATTGATGTTTCTCTCCCACTCTTTCTCCTTCCCTTCCCCTCTCTCTAAAAATAAACAAAATCTTTTTTTAAAAAGAAATTGAATGTAACTTATTCCTCTCTGGGTGGTTTCAAGACAAATTATTCTGGTTTTAGATTTTTTTAAATATGAACTAATAGTATCACACCGAAAAGCACTTAAAGTGTGATACCTTAAAAGCACACACAGAGACTAATAAAAACTGGCTGAGCAATGACTTGTTCTAAATAGGTGGTTTCCTCATCTTTTCTGTAATCAGGACCCTTTGAGGGACCTGAGTGTGGAAAATCAGGAAATGGAGGGGTCCCCGAATCGAGTGGTGGGGGAGCTCAGAGCCCTGCCCTCCTCCTTCACACCCCACCTCACGTACATTAACGTGGGGATGGTGATGCCCAAGACGCCCCAGTGGAGAGGCGCCCAGCATTTTAGGTGACTCTAGGCCCTTTCTGGCTCTGCGCTCTGACGGGT